TATCTCGAACCGAAAATACGAATTTCTGATAACTACGGGACAGAGAATTATAGATAGAACATCTGAGAACACAAGTAAAATAAGTGATTTTGGACATTTTAATCAGAGCAAGAAACTAATCGTCATATTCGTCGAAGGGTGTCTCACGAACCATAGTCATTCAGACAAGCCAAGATCTCTGAAGCCATCAAACTTACTGTGAAACAATGAAACAGTGCAAATGAACCAGAATTAATTATTTTCTACAACAGTGGATGGTCCTTCGAATCTCTAGGACACGGTTGACACCAGTCTTTAACACTAGAATAAACTGGCGAAAAAGAACTATAAAATTTGTGGCAGGGAAATTAAGATGCAAGGAACGAGAAAGACTCTGTAACATGTCTAGTGAAGTATATCTATATTTAGTAAAGTATATCTGCCGATATATTTTGTTAAAAATCACACGAATCTCTGAACATACAGTGTCATAAATTTATGAAATCTCTATGGAAAATTATATAAATTGATTCACTTTTGTTGTCGACCATTTTGGTAGTTCTAATCTCCAAAACTACACTGTTGTAAATTTATAAAATCTCGATGAAATTATAAATTGGTTCATTTTGCTGTTGACTATTTTGATAGTTCTAGTCTCTAAAACTACACTAAATTGGTCCACTTTGTTGTTGACCATTTTGGTAGTTCTAATCTCTAAAACTACACTGTTTTAAATTTACGAAATCTCGATGGAACATTATAAATTGGTCCACTTTATTTTTGACCATTTTGGTAGTTCTAGTCTCTAAAATTACACTAAATTGGTCCACTTTGTTTTTGACCATTTTGGTCGTTCTAGTATTTAAAACTACACTGTTTTAAATTTACGAGATCTCGATGGAAAATTATAATTTGGTCCATTTTATTTTTGACCATTTTGGTAGTTCTAATCTCCAAAATTATACTATTTTAAATTTACAAAATCTCGATGGAAAATTATAAATTGGTCCACTTTATTTTTGACCATTTTGGTAGTTCTAGTCTCCAAAATTATACTATTTTAAATTTACGAAATCTCGATGGAAAATTATAAATTGGTCCACTTTATTTTTGACCATTTTGATAGTTCTAGTCTCTAAAACTATACTAAATTGGTTCACTTTGTTTTTGACCACTTTGTTAGTTCTAATAATACATTTCTCCCCTTTTCTACACTCGTTGATATCTCGAGTCGGCGCGTAAATACGCGTAGCGAATTTCTGGTTAGACAAATCGATTTCGAGGAGCCGAGGTGGGGGGAAGGAAATATGTTAATCGTTCTTTTCGACGCGAGGTCGCGCCCGGCTCACGTCGCGTTGTTCGTTTGAATGAGAAACCCGAAGTATAGCACGGAGCTCTCGCGCTCTTGTGCTGCATAATTCATGGCATAAACGGCGTCAGCGAGCCGTGAACTGGACGAGCAAAGATCCGTGATATTGGGGAGGCCTCTCGGTGCATCGCAAACTCGCGGATGTCGCCAAAGACTTTTCCAGAGGTGGGGTGGTTCGACTTTGGGAAAGAGGATTGGCCCCGCGCGACTTGCCAACCGTTCGCATAACTGCGACCGGGCCACGCCGCATTAACTTCGCGATAGTTGACGATCCAGCGGAGCCATCTGCACGAAATTCCAACTTTGCACCCTCGAGTGTCCCATTTTTTTTTTTTTTTTTCACATTCCATCATCTTTTACTTCATTTTGTTCTCGATCACTTTGTTTTCGATGAAATTTGACACGTATCTTTTTTTTTTTTTTACCAGCTACATTATGCAATATATAAAAACTCCGAAAAAAAAAATATTCTCACCAATTGTGTTGAACTTTCGTGTCGAGCCTAATTTTGTTGCATCGTCGCAATTCAAGTGGAAAGATATTCAGCTGCTCCTCTCACTTAAACGGACTACCCTGTATATAATACATTTGTTACATTGTTTGACGTGGGATCCACCGGTTGCCATTGGTTACAAATTGATGGAAAGCTGGTCGTTCGATGTTAATCGCGAAACAAAGACGAGCCTCTGTTGTATCACTGTTGTATTGTTATTAGACGCAGTAAGAGCGAAATACCTTGAGACCAGCCCGCAGCTGCACAATCTTCGGCACTTTGAGGATGCCAATTTAGCTTAGAAGCCTAATTCCATAGTCCCTCTCCCTATTGTGCATGGAGAGGAGGGCTAAGAGGATTACGATCGTACATAATCAATGAATTATGAGATTGACCAAGATTGAAATGACAAGAGGCTAATAACGGCGCGTTTACGTTGCCATGGTGAGCCGCGAATCGACGTTCTTCAACATTCTCTTTTGGATTATGGCTGCGCGTTACGTCGACGAGCTGAATGAAGGAAAAAAAAAA